GGGAAACGTGCTTAAACCCGTTATTTCGATGAGACACATTTCTATATCGTATCAAGCCAAAAGTATACGAACTATTTTTTTATTTGCCTCATTGCACGTAATGTATCCGAATAGAATTTTTGGGAAAATAAACACGTTAACAATTTACTAAAACAAATCAAAAGTTATTAAACAATATTTGTTAATAATGAATTGCGTTCTTCACTTGTCCAATATTATCAATGGAATGATAACAGCCACGCAACTTCATGAGAACGCAAACAGAATTGTATTAGATTCGGATGGGAACTACTGCGGTGACAAAATGCTGTTTTCTTTCGGTTTTTTTTGTCATTGGCAGGGTAAATCAGTGACCTTTATCGCTAAATATGTAGTTGTAGAAACCAAATTCCAATGAAAAATTTTGAAAATTTGAAATTTTGGTATTATTGATTGTATGCCGAAGCGTGTGTGAAAGATTCGTTGTTTGTTTGGTTTCAGTTATCGTAGCTATTATTTGTGTTGTTGTTGCTTGTATAAGTTATAACTTCCGCTTTTTATATTAGTAATTGAATAACTGTAGCATTCACATATATGAGTACTTTCATTGGAATGTAAGATTTAATAATGGAAATTGGAAATATTATATTTCTTATAAGCTATAACATATATTAATTAAAAAAAACGTTATTTAAAAAATGACCTTTCGATGTCATAAAATTTAAATTATTTGAAAATTCTTTTAAACATTTTCCAAATTTTTTCTAGTGTTATATAGTGTTATAATATTTGAAATGTTTTAAGTGTTATACGTTTGCCTGTTTTTGGTTATTGGTAATTTTTGTTATTAAATTAAATAAAATAATATAACTTATGGTATCTATGTAATTATTTTAACATGAATATTCACTATAAATGTAAACTTAATAGTAACATAATAAGCGTAACTAAAAGCTGTGATGTTAGGAACTATTTTTGTGTGTTATTAATTAAAGTAAAATATTTAAAAAATACTTTTTTCAATATTAATTTAGGATTTTGCAAAGTGTTTAATATAATTTTTTAAGATAAAGAGTATTGAGAATCATTAAATCACCCGAAATTGCTTATAACGTCGGCCAAGGGTGCGGCGAAATTTGTTGGCATAGCCATTACAAGCGATACCAAATAAAGGACAGAATGATTTACGGTATTTTTGGATACCGTTGTTATAACTGATAGTTCGCTAAAACGATTTCGTTATAAACGATTTTGACTGTATATTTAAATGTAATTATTTATTAAACATGCCAAGGTGTAGATAGTATTGAAGATTTCGAATAATAAAGCCAGTGCATTACCTCTTGGTATGACCTCTTATTAAATTATATGGAATTAAGTCAATATCATTCTTTTATTAACCGAAAAGGTAACCAAATCAGATGAACCCTTCAAATCTTTGGAAACGAAAACAGGAGCAGATCGCCTGATCAACTGGAAATCGAACAACATCACCAGGTCAAGATGCGTGTACCTTTGAATGTGCATGTCGATGAGTCCATAATTCCGACCAGTAATTATTCCAAGGTCCTAGGGGCCACATTCTATAAAATGCATAAGTCGCTGATACCACAGCTTTTTCTGATAAGGTCGTTATAACCGATACGTCGTTAAAAACGACTTTGTTATAAACGATTTCGACTGTATATTAAAATTGAATTATTTATAAAACAAGCCAAGGTGTAGATAGTATTGACGATTTCGAATAATTTTTTAAAGCCAGTGCACAACATTTTCACCCTTTCCGTTAATAACATCAACATAAGAGGTATGACCTCTTATTAAATTATATGGAAATAAGTCAACATCATTCTTTTATTAACCGAAAAGGTAACCAAATCAGATGTGCCCTTCAAATCTTTGGAAACGATAACAGGAACAGATCGCCTGATCAACTGGAAATCGAACAACATCACCAGGTCGAGATGCGTCTTCCTTTGAATGTGCATGTGCATGTCCCAAGGTCCTAGGGGCCACATTCTATAAAATTTATAAGTCGCTGATACCACAGCCTTTTCTGATAAGGTCAGGAGCAAGTCACTAGGCAGCAGTACTTGTGGAGCTGGTACAGAAACCATGTTGATAACCTCTATAAGGGTAACACAATGGAAAACTATTCAATACTGGCAAAATGACGTACTAAGGACACCCTTATGACTCTCAAAAAAAACTCTTACATGAGAAGACGAAGAACATTCCAACCTGGGCGACATCACAACATGATGCTGTCGTTGCAATAAATGTTTCGGTGTTACACCATTCGAACCACTTTATTCCTCTCCATATCCGCAATCATGTCAGAAAAAATCTTCATAAACTGGAGAGAGAAGTGCCGAGGTATCAAAGAGAGCCTGAAGAGATATATGAAGCAGGAGATGAACAGATGTATGAAGCAAGAGGTACATCTGGATCTCAAAATTTCAACGCAATTAGGAAGAGTACATATCTACCTCTGGTATGAACTAGTATCATTGACTTTGCTCGAAAATTAGTAAACTTGTGGTCCCCTTAACGTGAGAACTGTAATTATAGGCGTAAAGAAGCAGTTATACCGTCAAGCTAAACTTATGAGTAAGTCAATATTTTTTCTGGCATAATCCAAGAAGGAGGAGCATACTATTTCGGGAAAAAATAGGTTGAGTGGTTTTTCATTCCGACAATACTCAAAACTATAGAACGGACATAAGAACCATGGAACATGCATAGGATTAAGAGTATAAACTGGGTAGAACAGGTGATCCTATACGACAACGATAACGCCTTGGCAAAGAAGATTCGTATAAACGCATATAACGATCACTTTGAGTGGAAACCGTTGAAAAAAGCGATAAAGTTTGACCAGATTGACTTTTTTATACCATAGCCACAGTACACAAAATGTTGCAAACTATGGCTAAACCTATTGATTATAGAGGATATACCAAAAAGTGAAACTATGTACACAGTTATATGAAGGCAATATCAAATTAAGAAACTTTATGCCAAATTCCGTGATGGCTGATGCATATCACTGCTCCGTATTTCGATATCAAGATATAATGTACGGAAATGTGATTATCAGTAAAGGTGGATATGGGTCCAATATGTCGTGGCCATACAAAATTGACCTATCCCCGCACATAGTTATATTGGTTATAATTAATATACCCATTCATTGTGAGTGTGTAAATTCCAGACATATGGGTCAAAAATCGATTATATTTTCGAGAAAGAGACATTTTTGAGTAGTTACAGGTTCAAATTGAATAAAATTAAAAAAAAATCGTTTTTTTTTTTTTGAAACCGAGAATTGGTGTGGGATCAGCTTAAAAGGGCTGCCAAGTGGTGCATGCATCGGTAAATCAAAAAGAAGTGTACATGTCTGTAATCACAAATCAATATTTAGAGTTAGGTTAAACATCTGACGAATGCGAAGTTGATCGGAAATAATTTCCAAGATGTCGTTAATAATTGCCACACAATCAAGTGTCGTCCATGGGCAGAATTGGAACTTCATGCTACAGTTGGAATACATAACGACCGGTCCATATCTACGGTCTTTACAACAATGTACATACATTTAGTTACATCGATTCAGTAAAGGTTGATCTGCCCTCATATATTATTGGGTTGGTTGTAATGAATATACTCTCCATACAAGGGCAGGCTACTCCAAGAGTGCGTATGTAAATCTTTAAAAAAAAAACAGTGAGCGAAGCAGTATTGTCGCACAATGCCGACCATATGATACCCTACACAGCTACCACCTTACTCTAACATTCTGCAGATCTTCATTGACTAGAGCGACTAAAAATTAAGGGTTTAGTCCATTTCATCCCCTAAATATTATCGGATCACAACCAAAAACTATAGGCGTTGTCGTTGACTATAAACAGAACATCATGAGACATTTTATGACAGTGAATACTCCTCTAGGGCATATTATAAACTTTTCGGGTCTGTGTCCTTTTGGAGTAAATATATACGCCATAGAATACAAATTGTGTAATTTTTTACACAGCAGTCTGGGTCCATTTGACACGCTAAATATTGACTGGTCTTCATCAAAACATTCATGCTTATTGTGTTCCTGTCATAATTGTAGCCTCTAGAGCGACCAGAAAAAAAAACAGACAAAAAAGTTGTTGCTCCATTTGTTCCCAAAATATTTACAGACCAATGAACAGACGGGCGGACACACATCTAGTCGAGATATGATATGATCGGCATATTAAGAGGTGGGTCTAGGGCCAATATTTCGTGGCGTTTTAAGCTAAAATGTTTGGTTATTATTTCAGATAACACTTCGGCATGAAATAAATAATTCTATTTACATATATCACATGTTTCTCTCAAATCAACTAAAAATAAATAAATTTTATGGCTTTTGGGATGGAATTGCTTCTATATATGTGTTCAATAAATTTATTTATATAATGAATATATTTTTGTATAGTTATTGTATATATGTCGATTATATAATCTTTTTATTAACAGATTTACTAATGAAACAAAAACAATTTCTATACTCTGAATATTATATAACTTCAATAATTAACTATGTATGTATGTACGTATGGCATGTGAGTGAGTTCCCTACAAACTTCTTTGGTTTTGTTGTTGTTGTTGTCCTTATTGTGTTGTGTTCTTTTAGTTAATAACATTCAATAATTTTTCTTTAGTATTTTTTAATACGTTTCCTTTTTTCATATGTATATATATTAGTAGTTAATTTCTATGTATGTATATATGTGTGTAAATAATTGTAACTAATTATTTATTTTTTGGTTTGTTTGTTTGGTTGTATAATTTTTCTAAAACCTTTTCAATAAGTAATTAATTTTTTCTTGTTTCTTCACTTCGTTCGTTCATTGCATTTCATTTGTTAAGGTACATTTTTATGATATGTTTTGTTGTTGTTATTGTTGTAATAAAGGATGGGTTTCACTATGTAGTAAATATTATTATGTATGTATATATGTATGTATGTTCGAAGCTTTAGTTTAATCCTGCAACAAATCTCTCATAATATCTAAAGAGTCCTGCAGTGATTTGGCATAACGTGAAGCACTGGTATCTTCACAGGCATAAAATGCTGAAACACAAAAGATTATCTGTTCCGGATGTGGATTATACGAACAGCCATAACCTTTGGGCGTAACGGGTCCATAACCCATAAAACTGTCTGTAGTTGAGGCCACCTAAATTTTGCGTTTTTATTTTCAATTGTATACATTTTTTATTAAATATTTTTGTTTTTTCGAAGGTGCGAGGGTGCTCGGTGCAGTAATAATTTACCTTACATTAATTGCAATTTGGTGCATTTATCGGTAGTTGTGCTCATGGTAGGTGCTTAGAATATCATTTTAGTGCAATATAACTGAAAGTTTTTTTTATTTTTATTGATTTGTAATGAATACTATTAAAAAGGGTCTATGTAAAATACAAAGGATCCGAAAACAGAAATTAAACAGAACCGAAAAAACGGAAAATATGGCAAAGATTAGCAATGTCAGAACCTTAGGTTCACATATTTTATATCTTTATAAAAGCTGACTCCAGCTTCTCGTTCATGAAGACAACTTTCAGGTTTCTTCGTTCCGACTACAAAAAAAAAACTTAAATCTTGTTTCCATCCCACCTAAAAAATTCCTGTCAAAACGTTTTGAAGTCTACCTACAGCTCGTCTGCAGAAAGACTGTCTGAAGACTGAAAGACTGTCTTTACTGTCCGTCCATGGAAAGACCTCTGTTGGCCTTGTCTAAAAAACACGACCAACTCGTTTATAAAAAGTCTCCATATATGTCTTCTATAAAGAGGTCGTTCAACTAGAGTACATAGTCTTCCTCCATCTCGTTTATAAATACTCCCTTCAGCTTGTCCATAAAGACTACCTTCAGTTCATATATAAAGACTACCTTCAGGTCGTCTACAAAGACTCCCTTCAGTGTGTTTCCACAGACTCCCCTTTAGCTCGACATAAAGATTCCCTTCAGCTCGTCTATAAAGACTCCCTTCAGATCGTCTATAAAGACTCCCTTCAGCTCGTCTATAAAGAATCTCTTCAGCTCGTCTATAAAGACTCCCTTCAGCTCGTCTATAAAGACTCCCTTCAGCTCGTCTATAAAGACTCCCTTCAGCTCGTCTATAAATACTCCCTTCAGCTCGTCTATAAATACTCCCTTCAGCTCGTCTATAAAGACTCCCTTCAGCTCCTCTATAAAGACTTCCTTCAGCTCGTCTATAAAGACACCCTTCAGATCGTCTATAAAGACTACCTTCAACTCGCCTATAAAGACTACCTTCATCTCGTCTATGAAGACTGCCTTCAGCTCGTCTATAACATCTCCCGTCAGCTCGTCTATAAAAACTCCCATTAGATGATATATAAATACGAGGCCAATTCGGGAAGTTCTTAGCCTTCTTCTATAAAGAGGTCGTTCAACTAGAGTACATAGTCTTCCTCCATCTCGTTTATAAATACTTCCTTCAGCTTGTCCATAAAGACTACCTTCAGTTCATCTATAAAGACTACCTTCAGGTCGTCTACAAAGACTCCCTTCAGTGTGTTTCCACAGACTCCCCTTCAGCTCGACATAAAGATTTCTTACAGCTCGTCTATTAATACCCCCTTCCACCATCCCACCTAAAATAATCCCTTCAAAACTTCTCAAAGTCTTCCTTCAGTTCGTCTTTAAAAACACTTCTCCTCACAGCTAGTCTATAAAGACCCATCTTCAGTTCGTCTATATAAAATCTCCTTCAACTCGTCTATAAAGACTCCCTTCAGCTCGTCTATAAAGACTCCCTTCAGCTCGTCTATAAAGACTCCCTTCAGCTCGTCTATAAAGACTCCCTTCAGCTCGTCTATAAAGACTCCCTTCAGCTCGTCTATAAAGACTCCCTTCAGCTCGTCTATAAAGACTCCCTTCAGCTCGTCTATAAAGACTCCCTTCAGCTCGTCTATAAAGACTCCCTTCAGCTCGTCTATAAAGACTCCCCTCAGGTCGTCTATAAAGACTCCCTTCAGCTCGTCTATAAAGACTCCCTTCAGCTCGTCTATAAAGACTCCCTTCAGCTCGTCTATAAAGACTCCCTTCAGCTCGTCTATAAAGACTCCCTTCAGCTCGTCTATAAAGACTCCCTTCAGCTCGTCTATAAAGACTCCCTTCAGCTCGTCTATAAAGACTCCCTTCAGCTCGTCTATAAAGACTCCCTTCAGCTCGTCTATAAAGACTCCCTTCAGCTCGTCTATAAAGACTCCCTTCAGCTCGTCTATAAAGACTCCCTTCAGCTCGTCTATAAAGACTACCTTCATCTCGTCTATAAAGACTCCCTTCAGCTCGTCTATAAAAACTCCCTTCAGCTTGTCTATAAAGACTCCCTTCAGCTCCTCTATAAAGACTCCCATCAGCTCGTCTATAAAGACTCCCTTCAGCTCGTCTATAAAAACTCCCTTCAGCTTGTCTATAAAGACTCCCTTCAGCTCGTCTATAAATACACCCTTCAACTGGTCTATAAATACTCCCTTCAGCTCGTCTATAAATACTCCCTTCAGCTCGTCTATAAAGACTCCCTTCAGCTCCTCTATAAAGACTCCCATCAGCTCGTCTATAAAGACTACCTTCAACTCGCCTATAAAGACACCCTTCAGCTCGTCTATAAAGACTACCTTCAGCTCGTCTATAAAGACTACCTTCATCTCGTCTATAAAGACTCCCTTCAGCTCGTCTATAAATACACCCTTCAACTCGTCTATAAATACTCCCTTCAGCTCGTCTATAAAGACTCCCTTCAGCTCCTCTAAAAAGACTCCCTTCAGCTCGTCTATAAAGACACCCTTAAGATCGTCAATAAAGACTACCTTCAACTCGCCTATAAAGACACCCTTCAGCTCGTCTATAAAGACTACCTTCATCTCGTCTATGAAGACTCCTTTCAGCTCGTCTATAAAAACTCCCTTCAACTCGTCTATAAAGACTCCCGTCGGCTCGTCTATACATACTCTCTTCAGCTCGTCTATAAAGACTCCCATCAGATCATCTATAAATACGAGGACAGTTCGGAAAGTTCTTAGCTTAGTACAAAAAGCGCGGTATAATCAGAAACATAACAGAAAACTTTTGGAAACTTCCGTTCCTGTGAACACATGAACTCCTTCATATAGAAACAGGTGTTCAAAAAAGACGTATACGCAATATTTTACAATGGAAAAATTAGAAATGCGTGCTTTCGTTGTAAAAAATTGCGGATGCGTCCTTTTCTGTTTATATCGCGCTTTTTGTGCTAGGCTAAGAACTTTCCGAGCTGCCCTCTTTTTTGATGTCATCCAAATAAAAATAATTATCAACCACAAATTATTAAGTTAAAGGTGCTTAAAAAATTAATAAATATATAGGAAAATTGTACCAAAATCTTACCTGGCTGGTGGACAACAGGAAGCATTGTGATATGGCATAGGATTCATCTGTAAATAATTCATGCAATTCACCGGTTACCTCACGACTAGCCTCTCGTAGACCCAACAGCGGTATATCCAAGCCATGGCCAAGAATATTTTGGACCATGACCTCAGTTTGACGAGCCACCGCACAACGGAATAGTTCACGCAAATGATCTTTCTATAAAGTATACAATAGAAAAATCGATAATTTGTATATATCTTCTAAAGAGTATCTGCGATTTGCAAACTTACACTATATATGCTAAATTTCACTTTACGCGGATCCTCCTCTTCTTCACGATCACTTTCCAATGCCACATTGGCACCTTCACCCTGACACATGGCCTTAACCCATTCAAGGGCTTCGGTACTTGCGCTGCGTATACAATCGACACGACCCAATAGGAAACGTCGGGTTGAAGCACTCTCATAGGTGGCTACCAAATGACCATACAGTCTGGAAGAATGGAAAGACACAATCAAGGTCAATATCTTTATTTGTACGACCTTTTATGTATCTGTCAGTAACCACTTACTTGTAATAGGCCAATTGCAGTGATAGCTGTATATAAACATCAGGACTAACTTGACAGGCCTTGATGAAATTTTTACCATAACCCTTGTAACGGTAAACATAAAAGTCCAAATTATCAATGGCTCTGTAAAAAAATAAAAAGAAATTTTAATAAAAAAAAATCCGACAAAAATACCCCCCATCTTACTTATCAAAACTAACGGCAGCCTCAGCAAAACGCTTCTGTATCTCCGCTGCAATATCCCATTCCAAACGTTCCGGTGGTGGTAGATGATGTTGTGGCACACCCGTATCTTCACTTGGCTTCTCCATGATACCTTTATAGATTTTCTCCAGCAGCTGGACGACAGCAATACCCTCCGATGTGGAATGTTCGTAGCAGAGACCCCATGTACCATCGGTACAAATGATGATTTGCATAGTTTTGTCAAACCAACGATTACCGGAATTGTAATCACTACCACCACCATGTAACATTTCATGGGCCATATTTGTCTCATCCCGCCCACCAGCATAATGGGTCGATGGTGTGGCTCCCGTAAAACCTCGTGCATTGAAATTCAATGGCAACGGTTCATCGAGTGCCAATAAAATCAAAGCTGTCTCAATCAGATCGATATTTCGTTGATTACGTTCCTCCAGCTGCAGTGTGGCACGATCTTCGGCCCAACGTGTACGCGGTTCAGCCGTTAGCAAACCCATTGGCGGTGGTTTCGAGGGCAAACATTGAGCATCGCTCATAACGTAGAGTATCTGTGAGGCGATTTCGCTCTCCGTCAATTTGCCACGATCCTCCGCCTTCAGGACGACACAGTACATTTGATTGCGACACGTGATAATCACATGTTGGCTATCGGTTTTTCTTTGCGGCAAATATTGTGAATCTCGTTCCAGGCCTGGACGACGACAGGAGCCCAACAGACGATAGTACTGAGCCATACACAGTGGTTGATTTTTCTCTCGTGATGTTGCTCTCTCTTGGGGCAGTTGACCGCTATCTAACATTTCTTTGTGCAACAAAATGCCATCGAGTATGCGTGCCGCAAAACGGGCCACATCATGTACCGTGGCAAAACGTTGAGGTGGAAAGACCATACCAGGATTCGAGTTAATGGGCAGGGCCAAGCGTACATCCATATACATGTCATTTAGCCAATAGTAGTAGGCCTAAAACAGAATAACAGAGGGAGAGCTAATGAATGAATGAAATTTCCCCAATTAATTAAATTGATTTATCGAGTACAAGATCTTGCGAAGTAATATGACTCCTATCGGACATTTCGTCGATATCTTGGAATTTCCGACACAATGTTTCTTGTTTCAGTGCATGATAAGAAGATATAAAGAAACAAATTTCTAAATTTTGTTAGAATATATTCCTGTTTGCATTCATTTTGTGTTTATTAGGGTGTTCTGGAGGGTTCTAAAATAAAATAATAATTTTGAACTTCTATAGACGAACTGGTAGGTGTTCTAAAAGAAGAGAGTCTTTATAGACGAGCTGGAGATAGTCTTTACAGTCGGGATGAGGTAGTAGTAATATATGTTATATTGAGCTGGAGGGAGTCTTTATAAAAAAGCTGAACCGGGTCTTCATAATAGAGCTGAAGGGAGTCTTCATAGAGGAGCTGAAGGGAGTCTTCATAGACGAGCTGAAGGGAGTCTTCATAGACGAGCTGAAGGGAGTCTTCATAGACGAGCTGAAGGGAGTCTTCATAGGCGAGCTGAAGGGAGTCTTCATAGACGAGCTGAAGGGAGTCTTCATAGACGAGCTGAAGGGAGTCTTCATAGACGAGCTGAAGGGAGTCTTCATAGACGAGCTGAAGGGAGTCTTTTTTCGACAAGCTGAAGGGTGTCTTTATAGACGAGGGGAGGCCATCTTTATAGACGAGCTGAATGGAGTCTTTATAGAAGAGATGATTGGAGTCTTTATAGATGAGCTGAAGGGAGTCTTTGTAGACGAGCTGAAGGGAGTCTTTATAGACGAGCTGAAGGGAGTCTTTATAGACGAGATGATTGGAGTCTTTATAGATGAGCTGAAGGGAGTCTTTATAGACGAGCTGAAAGGGAGTCTTTATCGACGAGCTGAAGGGAGTCTTTATAGACGAGCAGAAGGGAGTCTTTATAGACGAGCTGAAGGGAGTCTTTATAGACGAGCTGAAGGGAGTCTTTATAGACAGTAGAAGCGTAGTTTTTCATAGAACAGCTGAAGCGAGGCCTCTTCTTAGATGAGCTGAAATGAGACTTTTCATAGACAAAAGCAATCGAGGTATGTTCATAGACGAACTGCAGCGAGGTCTATTCCCAGATCTGTGGCAACGAGGACTTTTCATAGACGAGCTGAAGCGAGGTTTTTTCATAGATGAGATGAAACGAAGGACTGAAGCAAGGCCTCTTTTAAAATAACATCAAACGAGACTTTTCATAGATTGGATGAAAGGGAGGTATTTTCGTAGAGGTGCGAAAAGGGAGGTTTTTTAAATACGATTCTTTTATAGAAAATCTGAAGGGTTGTTTTTATAGATAGGGTATTTTAATAGAAGAGCTGAAGACACAGTAACTAGTGGTAGTATTTTTATAAAAGACTCCCTGCCCTGAAGGCTGAAATAGAGGTTTTTTCATAGAGGAGGTGAAAGGACTTTTATAGTAAATCTGAAGGGACTGTTTACAGATAAGCTAAAGGGTATTTTTATAGAAGAGCTGAAAGCAGATTAACTGGTCAGAGTATTTTTATAGAAGACTTCCTGCCCTGAATGCAAAAATAGGGGTATTTTCATAGATGAACTGAAAGAACTTTTATAGAAATAGATATGCTGAAGAGTATTTTTATAGATGGACTGAAGACAGACTAACTATTTTTTAGAAGACATCCTGCCCTGAAAGCTGAAAGGGAGCATTTTCATAGAGGAGCTGAAAGGACTTTTAGACAAACGCTAAATGGTTTTTTTTATTGAAGAACTGAAGACAGACTAACTGGTCGTAGGCTTATTATAGAAGACTCCCTGCACTGACGGCTAAAAGGGAGATTTTCATAGGACTTTTATAGAAAATCTGAAGGGTCTGCTTTTAGATCAGCTAAATTAAATTTTTATAGAAGAGCTGAATATAGACTAACTGGTGGTCTTTTATAGAGGCCTCCCTGCCTTGAAAATTGAAATGGAGGTCTACGCTAAAGGGTCTGTTTATAGACAAGCTAAAGGGCATTATTCTAGAGTCAAGATAAACTGAGACTTTACAAACGAGCTGTAAATAATTTTTATGTTGCACCTGAAATTAATTTTATAGAAACAATGTGAAGATATTTTTCTATGGAGGAGCTGAATGAAGGAAGATGTTAAATTGGCCAGCTGAAGGTAGGGAGTTTTCTATGGACCAGCAAAAAGCAGGTAATATTTTATAGACGGGCTGAAGGCTGTATAGACTAGAGACGATCTGGATGTAGAATTATAAAGAAAAGTTGACGGATTCTTTACAGTCGAGCTGTGAGCCATGAATAGATGAAGGTACCTCCTATATGCCAGCGGATGGAAGTCTTCGCTCAATCGCTGCATTTGTATAATCTTCGCTTCCAATAAAAAATTTCCACCTCCACTAACAGAACTCCCAGCCACAATTAAAAAAAAATTATATTACAAAAATTTGGGAAATATTTTCTTCAAAGATGTTCTCTTCATCATCTTAATTTCGAAAAATTGTCAAAATATGTAAACTGTCAAATGATAAGAAATCAAATAAAAAGAAAACATTTTTTATGTTATATTATTGTGAAATTTCCCATTGATATTATCACTTTTTTTTGGGGGGTCGGTCTCTTATCACGATCGCCTAACTGAATTCTGAGATTTTTCGATAGCTCTTGTTTTGGAACATGCCATTGATGTTTCGCTGTATATGAAAACAAAAAAATAGTATAAATGTTGATATCGATCTGAAGATGAAATCAGTTCAACACATTCATCAATTGTCGACGTATTATTAAACAAGCAAACAGCAAGGATGAAAGGTACGGATACAGACACATGTTACTCCTAACGTATACCAAAATATGGAATTGAAAAAAAACCACCAAATGTCCTTCGTACTTGAATTTCGTTAAAGTGAAAAGTTATAAAGTGCATAGTTTTATTTTCAATCCATTTTGTTGCTTTATTTCTTTACAGCTTTTGGACTAATCTTGACCACCTTGGGTTTGGTAGCCTTGGCTCACAGCACCCATCTCGATTACCCCCTGAAATGTCAATCCTCGGAAATGGGCATTCGTTGGCCCAACTATTATGACAAATCGGAATATTTCGTTTGCAATGTTTTGGGTGGTAAACCCATGGTGATAACCTGTAATCCTGGCGAAGTTTTCACCTTCGTTTTGCAACTGTGTACCAGCCCCAGCAAATATATCCCTGCTCCTCCAGCTGCCCGATTGCCACTTGCTGCTTCAACAGCCACCGATCGTAAGGACACTGAAGGTCATCCACCAATTGAGACGAATGATAAGGAAATTGCCGCTGTTCCACCGACGGTAGATGTTGCTGTACCTGAAGCTCCCATTGTTGTCGATGAAGCCAAACCTGTTGAAGAAGTTAAACCAGTCGAGGAAACCAAACCTGTCGAAGAGGTAGCTGTTGATGCTGATGCCAATAAGGAAAAAGAACAAAGCAACATTGATGTTCCATTGCCACCAACCCCAGCACCCACACCACCAGTTGTTGCCGTCGAAGAAGAAAAACCCCATGCCAAGAAACCATCAGCCGATAAGAAGAAATCCTCATCAAAGTCCAAAAATGAGAAGAAGAAATCTACAGGTGATAAGGCTAAGGCTGGCAAAAAGGCTGCCAAGAAGCCCGCCAAAAAAGCCGATAATGCCAAGAAGACCAAAACCGATTCTAAGAAGAAGGAGAAAACTCCCAAAGCTTAAGGAGGTTTAAATTCAATTAAGAAATACACCATTTTTTCCGTTACATTTTCTTGACATGAAAGAGTCGAAATTTATAATTTAGATTTAAAGCAAACAAAAAATATATACATACATATATAAATAATAAAATGGATACAAGCGGAGATACACATCAGCATAATTCATTTAGTTTTATAGGTTAGAGAGGGACATGCTTTATGTTCACCTTTTTTGAATTTAGTGCGAATTTTTTTTATTTCACCTTTAAAACCAACTTCGAAATGCGTAGATTTTTTTAAGAATATTTTTCAAAGTCTTCAAATGGAGTGGATTTTTAAAGAATATTTTTTTACAGAATGTTTCCAAGTTCTATAAAAGCAGTGGATTTTTTTTAAAGAATTTTTTCAAGGTCTATAAAAATCGTGGATACGTAGGGGATAAGAGATACCAAAGAACGGCTCTGATTGGCTTTAACCTGGCAAAGCTCGGGCTTATCTCGGTCCCTCCTTCATCTCAATTGTTGACATTGACCTCCCCATTGAATCCGTTGAAATAATGAGTTGATAAGAAATATAAAAATTTGGTTGTGGCTTCGGGTTAGTTACCCACACTCGGAATACCCCTATTACTATGAAAAGACAAAGAAAAACTAACCCAAACCCCCAATGCACTCGGAATGTGCACACGTTGTATAGAACAGGTGCAGTTTTCGTTTTGACGGATTTACTTAGGTACAAAACCGATATTATTGCCTTACAAGAAATGCGATGGAAAGGGACAGGCCACGTTAAATCAGTTGATTACGGCCTGCATTATAGCTGTCATGAATCGAGACATGAATTTGGCTGCGGATTTATGGTTAATACGATAATAAAAGACCTCGTCTCCAGATTCACTCCAGTAGATGAGCGAATTGCTATAATCCGTATAAAAGCGAAGTACTTTTACATCAGTCTTATTTGCTCCCATGCTCCGACAGAAGACAAAGTTGAAGAGACCAAAGACATATTTGAGGAGCGTCTAGAAACAGCATATGACCGCTGCCCTGGCCATGACATTAAATTATGATAGGAGATATTAATGCAAAAATCGGAAGGAAAAATTTTTTTGGCCCACCGTTGCAAAATTTTGCCTCCATGAAGGAACATCCGACAATGGCATGAGGTTCATTGTCTTCGCGGCAGCTAAAAACATGGTATTTAGCAGCACCAGTTTCAAACATATCGACCGCTGCCCTGGCCACTTGGATTTCTCCGATCGGGAGAAAAGGAGAGAGGAGAAACGTATTTTCAAAAGAAAGAACAAGAAAAACGTCAGTGGGGGCCAATGAGATGCATAGGAGTCGGAATGAAGTCCGGACATTCTACAAACGAGTAAAATACCAAACCGAAGGCTTTGGTGCAGCTGGTGACAGATGCAGACAGCGTGTTGAGGATCTGGAGGAAGGAACCCAGCAAACAGTGGCAACACGCACTGCAAAAGAGAATTATCGGGAGAAAAGGAGAGAGGAGAAACGTATTTTCAAAAGAACAAGACAAACGTCAGCGGGGGCCAATCGAAATGCATAGAAGTCAGAATGAAGTCCGGACATTCTACAAACGAGTGAAATACCAAACCGGATGCTTTGGTGCAGATGGTGACAGATACACACAGCGTGTTGAGGATCTGTAAAGCTTCTGATGGTATTGTATATCAAATAATAACGGCGAAGAAGATACCCTAGAACCAATAAGAGATTACGGTATAGATTGTATATCACCTAGCGAAGATGCGATCACAATAGCAATAAATTGGCTGAGGAATAATAAAGCATCAGGTGCGAAAGATTACCAGCCGAACTATTCAAGGCCGGTGGTCAGAAGCCAAGGGTCAATAACATTATGAGGCTTCAGACCTGGCAAACCCACCATAAACCAGATTTTTACACTGCCCCATATCTTGGAAAACAACCACGAAAAACCGACAAAACAAACAAAAAGAAAAAACATCGACACATTCCACTCAATCCGCTGAGAGGATTTTTAAGCTATGCCTGCGTTTGGCATTCCTGCAAAATTAATATACAGGATAACTTTAACTGGCACAATGTAAGCAGTTAAAGTCGGAAAGTACCATTTAGATCCCTTCAATACGGAACGAGAATTCAGACAAAGTGGCAGTTTGACCTGATATCAACGCGTAAGACGTCCAGTAGACTCGGACTTCCAGTAGACTCGGACTGTGGAACTTGAGAACTACATCTTCGAGGTAGTCAAAGATTTTATATAATTTGGTACCGCCATAAACAAAACTAATAGCATCAGCTTTGAAATCCGGAGAAGGATAGTGTTGGCCAACAGATGCTGCTATGGTCTGAGTAAACAACTCAAAAGCCGGGCCACCTCTCGCCAGACCAAACTCATACTCTACAAGACGCTGATATTACCCATGCTATTGTATGAATCTGAAGCATAGGTACTTGCGCCAGCAGATTAGGCAGCTCTTGGAGTGTTTGAGAGAAAAATTCTTCGGAAGATCTATGGGCCTATCTGCGTCGACGGTGAATACCGCCATCGAATGAACCATGAACTGTACCATCTATTCTTGGGAATCGACATAGTCAGACGTATCGAGCTGCAGCGACTACGTTTGCTAGGCCATGTTGTTCGAATGTATGAGGATGCCCCATCTCAAAAAGCATATAAAAAGAACCAGCTGATGGTTCACGCAGAAGGGGAAGTCCACAAATTCGATGGAAAGATCAAGTGGAAGACAACATCACGGAACATGGTCTTTTAAATTGGATGAGCTGCACATAAGACCGACACGCCTGGAAATAAGGTCGGCTTATGGAACAAATGTTCTGTCACAAGCCAGCTAAGTAAGGGATTTTTTAAGAATATTTTTCAAGGTCTATAAATTCATGGATATTTTAAAGTCGAATTATATTTTTCGTTACTTTGTATTGCAAAGCTGTTGAAGATGTTCCTGTCTTAATGGTTATAGTTCTTATGGCAAAGTTAGGATATTAACTGTAGTCGATCCTCGGGATCTCCTCTTGAGATGATAAACGAAGTAAAATTTCATTATCCATTTTTACAAATAAGAAACCTCAGTTCCACCCGCGTCTCTAGGGGGCTTGTATCTATAGTTGTTTCAGTTAGTATATATTTTTATTTTTGTCATCATTTTATTATGATAGGGTTTCAATTGAAATTCTCTGAATATTCATATCTCTATATAAATGTATGTGATCATTTGATAAATTGGCGTTGTTCCTAGAATCCAAATTTCGTCAGATAATAATCTATTTTTATGTTTGCAATTTATTGTTTGAATCAGTAAAATCTAATTTGTCACACATATATGTATAATATAAATATGGTATATGAGTATAATATTTGTGTGATAACACACATACATAGCCAATAATTGAGATTGCACAAAAGAAAAATATTTGAAATATTTTTCATATGGGTAAAGGTTCATAGGTTATAAAATATTTGTAGACGCTCCAGTCCCTTCAAAAATTTTTTTCACAGCTTTGCCAATTGCTTGTGTAGTTGAACGATTACATAAATAAATATAAATGTGAGGAATACTTATAATACGTCAGAATATTCTACAAAAATGTTCTTCATACAGTTTTACTATATGTCTCAGAATAGACCAAAAATCGTTAATAAGCCTAAACGTCAAAAAAGCTTAAAATATGAAAACTCATTTCAGGGGTTAAAACCGATCATATTCCTAGTTTCTGTATCCCTAGTTTTCTCTGTAAGTGATCCGTGGTCATGATTTTGGAATATTGCTTTTTCAAGTCGCTGTAAACAACACAACACATGCTGCTACGTCATATCGTACGTTTATGCTGTCGCGAGACACATAATGTTTACCTGGATCAGAAACAGATATAGTAGTTCTGGTATTTGTTTTTGAACCCCCAAAATACCTCTACCAGCTGTCACCATTCCAAATTTAAATTGCAGATTTTATTTCAATGTCACCAAGCCGAGTAAAAAATAACAAGTAATGACCAGTGGAAATGTTAATAATTTCTAACCACTATCTAATCATTTATTCCAATTTTTTTCTTGGGACAGATAAAAAGTCCTTTTAATCGGCGCGGATTTTTAAAGAATATTTTTACAAGCACTAACAGGGCAATAGGCGTGGATTTTTAAAGAATATTTTTACAAACACTAACAGGGCAATAGGCGTGGATTTTTAAAGAATATTTTTACAAACACTAACAGGGCAATAGGCGTGGATTTTTAAAGAATATTTTTACAAACACTAACAGGGCAATAGGCGTGGATTTTTAAAGAAAATTTTTTTAGAAGCACTAACAGGGCAATAGGCGTGGATTTTTAAAGAATATTTTTTTACAAGCACTAACAGGGCAATAGGCGTGGATTTTTAAAGAATATTTTTACAAGCACTAACAGGGCAATAGGCGTGGATTTTTAAAGAATATTTTTACAAGCACTAACAGGGCAATAGGCGTGGATTTTTAAAGAATATTTTTACAAGCACTAACAGGGCAATAGGCGTGGATTTTTAAAGAATATTTTTACAAACACTAACAGGGCAATAGGCGTGGATTTTTAAAGAATATTTTTACAAACACTAACAGGGCAATAGGCGTGGATTTTTAAAGAATATTTTTACAAACACTAACAGGGCAATAGGCGTGGATTTTTAAAGAATATTTTTACAAGCACTAACAGGGCAATAGGCGTGGATTTTTAAAGAATATTTTTACAAGCACTAACAGGGCAATAGGCGTGGATTTTTAAAGAATATTTTTACAAGCACTAACAGGGCAATAGGCGTGGATTTTTAAAGAATATTTTTACAAGCACTAACAGGGCAATAGGCGTGGATTTTTAAAGAATATTTTTACAAGCACTAACAGGGCAATAGGCGTGGATTTTTAAAGAATATTTTTACAAGCACTAACAGGGCAATAGGCGTGGATTTTTAAAGAATATTTTTACAAGCACTAACAGGGCAATAGGCGTGGATTTTTAAAGAATATT